CACATCTCCCAAGAGATACCCTAATTTACCCCTTCCCCCAATAGCCATCATGGCTGATTGGGCCCATTCCAAATAGTTTGATCCATCAAATCTTACGGTTGTAATCTGAAAACCTATCTCAGAAACACTACCAGAACTGTTGTTCCCAAAACTGCCTTTTGCCTGATTTTTAAACTCCATTTCGTTCAAGAACCAATAGTCTCAAAAATTAGGGTTACTACAGTCGAAGAACAGCACTTGGACTATCAATCACAATCAAAAAATCAGTATAGAACTAATCTGTATTCACGGTATATGTGCATGAAACCAGTATAAGTCTGATCTGAAACCAATTAGCAAACACAACAACACAGTATGTACAGTTTTCACCCCTTAAAAGATCTGATATGCTGAACCAGAATTAGGGTTTTGATCAGTCCTTAAAAAAAATTCTCAGCCGCACATTCCAAGCARTACCGTACAGATAAGACTTGTAGTAGGGTTAATATGAAACCTTAAACTGATCAATGCTGAGAAAAAAGGAAGAGCTTCACAAGTAGATCACAAGGCTTTGCTGCAAGATCAATATCAAGCCCTACAGAATAGAAAGAAGAAAACCCTAGATGGTTCGGCCGCCCTTTCTAGATAGGTCCAACCTATCTTCTCTGATAGTACTTCTCTTAGAAAATAAAACAACTTACAAGAGAATGTTGTTCGCTGCCTTCCAACGTTACCTGAACCCTAGCCTTCTCTGATTCTTCCTGATCACCGACACTTTGCAACCGTGGCAAGTCTTCAACAGCTGCTAAACCCTCTGGTGATCTCCAAGAATCAGTCAACGAACTCTACTTTCTCAGCTTCCARCCCTAGATGGTTCTCATGTGGTCGGCTGGACTAGACTTACATGAGAAACCTAACCTTGCTCTGATACCAAGTAGAAGTTCAAGACTGCTATCAGCCTTGAACCCTAATAGATTTCAGGTTCGAAAATAGAAGGAAATTGTAGAGAAGAGAAGAGAAGAGAAAGAAAGGAGAGAACTGTAGAACACAAAGAGTTGAAAGGAGGGGCAGAATCTAAAATGTTCTGCCGCTGCCACTTCTATTTAGTATTTATAGGTTGTGCTCATTACATGGAAAGGACAAATCTGCCCTTAGTATTTACATAAGAAATAGAACAAAATAAAACTGAAATAAATAACAACTGAAATAACCAACTGACCACCAGCTAACCCTAAGATGACTAGAACACATTCTACCCTACAGACACAGTGGGACCATAGTTGTGGGGCCCACATCAGTGTTCTCTACATTATACATGTTTTATATTATTCAATTAATAAAAAATTGGGTTCTTGAAAACTCCTGTAAACATGTATATCGGATACCCAGTGATACGATACGATAGGATACACTTGATATCAAATACCCAATGATACTTTGAACCTTGGTCTCCAAGGATATCACCTTCATTAAGTCCTCATCCTTTTTCCTATCATTTCGTCATTCTCTTCATGGGAAGAGTTTCCAGTGAATCCCTTCTGTCTTCCAATTCATGTTTCAATTATGTCCTGCTAGTATTCCTTCACCTCCTCTTCTTATGTATCAACCTTGGTCTTGGTAGTAGTTTTTTTATCAAGCGAAGTAAGAGGGTGGCTCCTGATGTTGAATGTCCATCATAATTTGATCTCCCTAACTTAGGTAACCTTGGTCTTGCACCTCTTGAGCTTCTTAATGCTTAAGTTACTGAACTTGATGTCTTGAATTCTGACCTTGACCTTCCTATTGCCATCTATAAGGGAAAGAGAAAATGCATAAACTATCCTATCACTAACTATGTTTCTTATGATACTCTCTCACCCTCTTATTGTACTTACATTTCTTTTATCTTTTTTTGTTTCTATTCCCCCATGGTGTTACAAAAGTAGTGCAGTCACCTCATTGGAAGGAAGCTATAAATCAGGAAATGGAGGCCCTTATAAAAAACCAAACTTGGGAAATTGTTTTTTTCAAGGACTAGACTCCTGTTTGATGCAAGTGGATGTACTCTGTTAAACATAAGGTTGATGGTTCTATTGAGAGGTATAAGGCACAATTGGTGGCCAAAGGGTATATTCAAAACTACCGCATTGATTATTAGGAAACTTTTGCTCCTCTGGCTAAAATGAATTCTATCCATGTGACCATATCTCTTGCCGCCCACTATTCTTGGCTTTTATATCAAATAGACATGAAGAATGCATTCCTTAATGGGTACCTTCAAGAAGGATCTACCTCCAGGAGTAACCTTCCTTAACGGTGAAGGGAAAGTTTATCGTCTGAAGAAATTTCTATATGGGCTCAAACAATCTCCTAGAGCCCGGTTTGATAGGTTCAGAAAAGCAATCTTGAAGATTGGATTCTCTCAATCCCAAGTTGATCACACTTTGTTTGTAAGAAGAGGTGATGGTTGGATGACTATGTTGGTAGTATGTGTTGATGGCATTGTTGTAACTAGGGACGATATCTCTAAAATCACTCAATTGAAATCCTTTCTTGCCTCTAAAATTTGAAACCAAGAACCTTGGTCATCTCAAATATTTTCTTAGAATTGACATTGCAAAATCAGAGGGGATTTCCATTTCACAAAGAAAATATATTCTTAACTTTCTCCAAGAAGTTCAAAAGTTGGGGTGCAAGCCAGTTGGGACCCCAATTGACCTTAATTACAAATTGAGTGCTATTGATTGGGATGTTCTCCCAAATGGGTTTCTCAAAGATTGGTTGGTCGCCTTCTTTTTGTCTATGMTTGATCAAACATGACATATCCTATACAGTTAGTGTGTTAAGCCAATATATGCATGAATCTAGAACTCTCCAAATGCAAGTTGTCAACCGGATTCTTGCTTATTTGAAGGGATGTCCTAGTAAAGGAATGTTGTACTCTAATCATGGGTTTATTTGAGATTTACAGTGATGTAGACTATGCGGAGTCTTGTGGACGACAGGGGATTTACATTTGACTATTGTGCGTTAGTCAAAGGAAATGTAATATCATGGAAAACCAAGAAACAATCGGTTGTTGCTCGTTCCAGTACAAAGGCAAAATATAGGGCAATGGCTCATTGAGTATTAGAATTACTATGGTTGAAGACATTGTTAATGGAGATGGGAATTCCAGCCGATACCCCAATGAAACTCGACTATGACAATCAAGTGGCTACAAACATTGCTCATAACCATGTTCAACATGACCGTGCAAAACACATTGGAGTAGATAGACATATCATCAAAGAGAAGATTGACAATGGACAAATCTGCTTACCCTTTGTAAGATTAGAGGATCAACTTGCTGACTATCTCACTAAGGGAGTTCACAAGCCAAAGTTTGATAGTAACCTAGGCAAATTGGGCATGATAGATATCTATGCTCATCTTGAGGGGTGTGTTGAGAATATGTATGAAATTGTGTTTTGAATGAATTTGGGGTACCTTGGTCTTTTCATCTCTTTTGTGTTTGCACATTCATCTAAGGGCAATCTTGTACTTTCCCTCAAATATAAATCTCAGATTTTATGGTGAGAACAGTAACTCTCAACACACCCGTGTAACTTCTTCTGAACATGGGCATTTTAGTAATCTTATTATCACCATAACATCAATTTAACAGAGTTGGACTTAAGAGTATATTTCTGAAAGTTCTGGTATTTGATTGTCATACTTGAGAGTTAGGCCCCTAAGTGTCACTACCCCCAAAGTACAGGAACAAGAATAGAAACAGAAAATTGGGAGAAAATTGGGAGAAACTTGGGAGAAACTTGGGAGAAACTCAAAACAAGAATACAGGAACAAGAATACAGGAGTAAAGGAGAGGAAGAGAGAAGAAAATTGGGAGAAACTCAAAACAAACCATGGGATTCTCTGGGGTCCTCACTATCTTTTATACTTTAAGTATAATAAAAGGTAAAAGTGTAAAACTACACCTGTATCCTTTACAGGTTGACAGCAATAAAGAAACAGAAAATGAAAGGCCCATTAGACCCAACATAAAACACAACAGCAGAACTATAAATAGGCAAATGAATTAAAGAATAAGCCTTAAATCTGGCCTGTCAACAGTTCTCCTTGGATTCTAGCAAGCAATGGCACTCTGTACGTGACAAGGTTCAAAACAGTGTTTTAAAAGGCATGGGAGGCGTACCCCTCATATAAAAAGATAGGAAAAAAAGGGAAGGAAAGAAAAGATAAGGGGAAAGAATGTAAGCTGGGGGTTCTACTGGCTGGGACTTCGCCCCCCAGCCCCTTTTCAATGCAGCCCAATTTGTTTTTTTTTTTTTTTTTTTTTTTGTTAGGGGGTCTTGCACCACTCCAGCTCACTTGCTTCGACAAAACCCCCCTTTCAACTAGTGCTATGTATTTTCATTCTTCTTAATATAAAAGATTTTTACTAAAAATAAAGAAAATGAGATCCTCCGCATTTTAAAACATTGGTTCAAAGATATGATACGTCTGATGGGGGGCATATTATATCACTTTTCAGAGTCACTGATACTCTAGATATTCATAATTAAGATCTTTTAATTGTTTTTAATGTTAGCATATCATGAAACATAGCCACTGACAGATAAAAGAGGTTATACTTTTTGATCCAATGAAAGTCTTCTTACCCAAAAAAAATAGAGTATCGATACTTTGAACCTTGTACTAATGTTAGGCAACTCAATATACTCCTTAAATTTCTAATGATAATTAAGACCTGATCTACAACCCTTTCACTGGTGCAGGCACATCGTGAATCAACTGGGACAGTATCGTCAAGCAACAGAAGTGTTGAAGATCCAGTTGCCGCAGCGGAGGAAATAGCTTTCTGCAGAGCCTGTGCTCGGTTTGGCCTCGGCCTGTATTTGTATCATGAGGATGAGACAGTAGATAAATGAACATAAGCTTTTTTAACGTGTTAGAAAAAGCACCAATACAGGCCAATATCGGCTTGTATCAATATTTAGAACCTTGGTATACAATTATTTATATATACAATAATTAAATAAAATAGTATAATAAAATTGAAAAAAAATATATTTTATTATTAAAATAGTATAATAAAATTAAATAAAATAGTACAATCGGCTTGTATTAATATACTATTTTATTAAAATAGTATAATATATATATATATAAAATATGCATTGTGTCGAGTAGGTATGTGCTGACCCGCCCCGCTGACCTAAAACCCCAAGCCCGACAAGCCCATCGGCCCATACAATCAAGCTGGGCCACAGCACAGTCCGTGGACCATCAGGCCAGGACGGCTCAAATTCGTGCTGGGCACAGCCCGATTTACACTTCTAGTGGTAAAGCCAAACTTATTTTTGTTTTTTTCAGGGGTAGAAAGAGGGAAGGATTTCCACTATCAAGAGCACAGTATTGTAGCCCCAAAGGTCCTCTATTAGAATTCTGTTAATGGTTTCAGGTGCATGGAATGATTCTCAAGCTCTTCCACATCATTGCCTAAGTTGGCCGCATAGTCTACTAGTTGGTTAGCCTCTGTTTGATTTGCATCCTCATCCTGCTGTAACTCAATTTTTGCTTAAATATCTCTGATTATTTATCGTCTTCCACCCAATTTTTGCTGTAACTCATCCTGCTGCTTCAATAGCCTCCTTAGCTGCCCATCCTCCTCAACTATTATGGTTTTTCACTTTTTCTCCCGATCTCTTTTTAGTAGAGATTGAGGATGCTTCCTGTGTAGTCTAGTCTCCTTCAATGAGTATGTATTTATGTTATGTTGCGTTGCATCCCTCGTCGTCACACATTATCGAAGAGAAGCTTGAATGATTAAAGAGAGCCATGGGTCATATGAAAAACGTACTGGACCGGATGATTGGACTGGTTGATCAGGGAATTGGTGAGGAATGATTCATTAACCCAATTGAACCATTGACTTGAATCGTAATTTTTTATTATTTTTATTTTATTTATTTTTTAAGTTAAAATGAATCATTCGTGTCTGATCCGGTTTTTAAAACCTTGTGATAAGCAGAGAACTCAAAACATACGTTTCTCACAAGTTCTGCCTTGAATATGAAACGTGCTCCTTTCACACCGACATCATTACATCAAATTACAAGAGAGAGAAATCTTCTTTTGATTTCTTCAAGATTTGTTTTGATAATTTGAAAAATAATAGAAAATTCTTCTTTCGATTTTGATTAAGTGCCTGTCTGGAAGGGCTGGAGCTTTGCTCGAGTTGCCTTTGCTAAAGCATGAGTGAGGCACTTCATCGGCACTTTTCAATGATCAAATTATCAAAAAAGCGGTCTCAAGGCTAACGGCATAGGAATCTTTCCGTGTCACAAGGATCTCTCCCAGATTTTAGCGCTTGGATATTCTTCAACTTCAAGATCAGAAGTATCGGTTTCTAAGGTGTCTTTATTTCTGAGTTTGGTTCTCTGTTCCGGAATCCGCTATACTTAAACTTCTCGGCGTCAAGCTTGTATTTCAACCTTCTCGGCATCAATTTTATCGTAATGCAATTGGTCTTCAGCTGGCTTTCAGTTGGGTTTTCTGCACAACAATATTAAAGCCAAGAAAAAAGTCTTAAGACTCTGAGTTTGGGTTAACAGCAGCAACGCCATGGCTGACAGAGATTGTGAGCTCTCACCTTAGCTCAAACAACACCAAAAGGTATGAGCAAGTTGACTCATCTAACTCGAGTAATCTTATAAGCCACATATCTAGCATGCATTACACGCTCAGGGCACGTGGTTGTGAATAAGCTTTTACATTCACAACACGTCTCTAACATGTATTACTCCAAGTGGCAGCAGTTTCTCTAGTTTGTTGACAGGTCACTCACTCCTTAATTCATTATGTTCATCATATATTGCTATTCACAACTATGATTATACTCTCTTGGAATGCAAGAGGGCTGAACAGTCCCAAAACTGTTCGTCATTTGCAAAATCTTTGCAAATGAGAAAAACCGGACCTCCTCTTTTTAAGTGAAACAAAATTGACAATTGAAGCTAGTGCAAAGCTTACAAAGAGGTTGAGGTTCAATAAACATATTTGTAAAGAAGCAGAAGGTCTATTAGGCGGATTGTTATGTTGCTGGAACAACATTGCAAGTGTAAACAAACCTTATAAGAGTACAGGTTGATAATCCCCCCCCCCCAAATCACCCCTGCAATTACTCTTGTTCTATGGTCATCCACAAAGACAGCATCGGAAAGAAATATGGAAATATTTATTGTACTTGCAACCAACCACCACTCTTCCATGGCTTCTTTTGGGTGACATGAATGACATTTATCTTCATCATGATCAAGAAAACTTTCCTCATTTAACTCCAAGATTATCCAAAATCATGAAAAGYTTTATTGATCATTTCAATTTAATGGATCTTGACTTTATAGGCCCACCATTTATCTGGTCAAATGGTCAAATAAAACCATCAAAAGTACTTGAGAGATTAGACAGAGCTCTAGCAACCACAAGCTGGATACACCTTTTTCCCTCAAGCGGTTCTTCACCATCTCCCAATTATCCAATCAGATCATGGGCCTATTGAGTTATCCACAAACGGGAATATTATATGAATGGTACCCCAGTTTTTCAAATCACTTCAAAACTAAAAGAATGTAAATAGTCACTAGAACAAAAAAGGTTTTGGTCTCATACAAGACCAACTCCAAAGGCTCTCAAGCCACACCTTTAGTCTCCAAATGAGCATAGGTAGAGGTGTAAAGTGGGCCGTGCTGCCCTCTCACCAGTGGAAAATTTGGGGGTTGGTTCGGCACAGCCCACGGGCTACAGGCCAAGCCWGTGCCGTGCTGCGGGCCTGGGCCGGGCTGCAGACCGTGCCGTGGGCTTGGGTCGTGCTGAGCTGGGCCACAAGGCAGGCCTTGGGCCTAGGCCGAACTGGGGTACACTATTTTTTTTTTTGAAAATTTTGATTTTTTTTCTAAGTAAAATTGTAAAACTAAAATATTTAACTTTTCTTTGAACTTTGGGAATTGGGAACTATTTAAAAATTTAAGAAATGGGAAATCTAAGTTATCTAACACATAAATGAAAAAAAAAAAAACTTAACCAAATTGAAATAAGAATGATGGAATAAMAAATTGGAAGAAAAATAGGAATTTTATTTCATTTAATTTTGAATGGTACAAATTACAAATACAATGATTAGATTATTGGATACTTGGATGAATGAAATATGAAAATGGAATAAATTAATAAAATATAAAAAATACAATATAGTTATAAATTGAAAATACAAAATTACATTGTTAAAAATTTAAAAATATATATATATCAAATAAATTAAATAAAATTAAAGAATTACAATAATTGGAAAAAAAATAAAAAAATCTATACAAGTAGTCAAATTCCTGAATCATGATTCATGACTTTCATCATCTGCTTCGGGTGAAATATCCGGTGTAGTATCATGCCCTCCTTTGTCTTGTAGTCTATCTTCTGCATCTAGCCAATCCTTGAAGTAGACACACATCTCTWTGCTTTCATTGTTCATGCAGCTTCTTTTGTCATCCAGCACCCTGGTACCTACACTAAAACAAGACTGATGGAACTGTAGACACCGGAGGGGTTAGTAGATCATGTGCCATGGCGGCAAAAGCTGGATAATTTTTCAAATGTTCACTTCACCAACCTAAACATCAAAAATATTTGATCCTTCACCTAAATTAGAAAAATTTGCTTGTAAATAGATATTAATTTCAGTAGATGAACTTGTTGTAGAAGTAGTAGATTTCTGCCTTCTACTTATTAAATAAAAGAGTTTTTCTCTTCTACTACTAGGCTCAAGGTCAAAAGTAGTAGAAGATGTTGTACAAGTTGTAGGAATATTTCCTACAACTTCATATTCATATAAACTGTACATTTCAAATAATAAATTATTAAATTCTTATTTTTTATTTCCTATATCAATATTCATATTTTCACAATATGATTCAAGCAAAATATCTAAACCATCTTTCCTAATCCTAGGGTCTAATATTGTAGCTAAACAATAAAAGGGGAGAAATGTTCTTCCAATATTTTTTAAATTTATTTTCCATTATTTCAACAATACATTGAAATTGTGAATTATTTCTACATTTTGCAAAACAATCACTAATTACCATTAATTGATAAGGTAAATTACAACTAGTTGGATAGTAAATTCTAAATAATTCATTAATTGCATCATAAAAACATTTTAAAAAATCTCTTATACAGACTGTCATTTCCCAATTTTCCTCAAATATCAAATCATTAGGCATTTTTGAATTATAAAAATCAGTAAGAATTTGTTTATGAGAAATACAACTTTCTAACATAGCATAGGTAGAATTCCACCTATGCTTTACATCTAATATAAAATGTTTATATTTTAAACCATAATTTTGACATAAATATTTAAATTCTTATTTTCTTGCCCTTGAACTTTTTATATATATAATACAATTTCTAATTTTTGAAATATGAGTAGAATTAATATTCAAGGCATCTTGAATACATAAATTTAAGATGTG